CATCTGCTTGACTGCCGAGTTTCTGTCCAAGAATACCAAGAGCAAGGCGATACATCTGCAGCTCGCGATCATCGACATAACGGAAGAACTGCTGTTGCTTCGGCATCAGAGGTTGAGCTGGCTGCATTTGACCGAAGGTGGGATGTTCATGCTTGAAAACCACCGCCACAAGCCCGGGCTGAAGTGCAGGAGGTGTCAGGCAATTGAGACATTTATCACCCCAGAACGTGGTAGTAGTGGCTAGAGTGTCACCAAAAACAACTTCCATCCCGGGGTAGAAGCCGCTTCCAAGCAAGGTAACCTCCGTGCCTCCCGTAATAGAGCCTTCTGCAGGTACCAACTTGTGAATGACTGAGGGTAACCGGTTCCCCGCATTGGTAAGTGGTGGCCACATCGGTGTGGACGTGTTGGGTCCCAAGGAGATGTTGTAACTTGGATCCTGGAAATTGTTGCGCGAACCCCCAGGGGTCCCAGGACGGCTTGGTTGGGCGGAGTTCGGTGCAGACATCAATTGCTGCTGTATAAAGTTGTCCAAACTCTGTTGTTGCATGGTGTTAAGAAAGGGATTGGTATCTGCGCCGTTCGGAGTCGGCGGTCCGTTAGGGAACTGATTAGATATGGCAGAAGCAGTGACGAAGGGCCTCTCCGCGGGGGATGCGAACCCGCGAGTGCTAGGGAAAGGTGGATCGTTGTTAGGGGCTGAGGAGCTGGACACGCTACCTGACGACTGCGTGTTCTCCAGCTTGGTCATGGTGAGTTCCGATGGCAGCCTCCCGGAGTTGCTGTGTTTGCGACGCTTGCTCATCGGCCCTTGGAAATCGTTTGGCGATGTCTGTCGAGAAAGACTCCGAGGCGTTTGAGTGTTGGTGGTTGTGCCGTTCGTTGAGGATTGGGACACGGGGAAGGAGCCTGACGTCAGATATTGAGTGTTGAATCTTTGCTGCAGACCCTGCAGATCGGTAGCTGAAGATGACTGAGCTGCTTGTTGCGACGGAGCGGATGATTTGCCTGTATCAACACTGGGGCTCGATGGGAACACGCCAACGCCCGGAAGCTGTGTCCCGTCCGGTAGAGAAGGAGATGGACCAGGAGCTGGTGGAGCGGGAGGCGCATGGGTTTTGTGGTCGTCGGTAATCATGATAGAATTTGTTATTGCCTGAGCGACAACATTATCTTTATAATCCTTGACAGTGAAAATGACTCTGAAACCAAAAGTTAGCAAAATGTCAAAATGACACAACCGCGCAGAGCCGTGTATACGTACTGAAACCCAAGCTTCTCATTCTGATGCCTACAGTAGCATGCGATACGCATTGGTAACTCCACTTGCATGGCCCCTGGAGGAATATTAGGCATGGGAGCGTCGCCAAAGCTTGGCATGGCATTCTTCGATGGCTCGGCCCATTCCTTGACTTCGTTGGTGTTGAAGACGATTACCCTTTTCTCCTCGTCCTTCTGGAAGAGTTCGTCTTCTTCCGGCTTTCTTTGCTTTTTCCTGAACGCACGCTTCCGCTCACGCTGTATACAACCAGGGCAGATCTTGACTTCTCCGCCATCCAGTGGCTTATCGTCTTCCTGCATGTCTTCGGCGGAACGTGGGCTAGAGCTGGATGAACGGTAAGAGTTATCTCCTCTTGCTCTGGCAAACGCCTTCTTCAGTTTCTCTTGATCTTGCATCGCACTTGTGCAAACGAGACTTGTGTGCAACTCCACAATCTCCGGGGATCGTTCAACAGTCGGCGGCGCCAGAAATTTCGGCTTCGAGATAGTGTGGCTCGGCAAGCGCAACTTTTTGACACCATTCGGCAACGGGAAGAGAGTCAGTCTGATAGGAATCTGGGTTTCCACGCGCGATTTGAGGGAGGTGGGATGCACGGTTAGCATGTGACGCTGCGTCGTCTCCTGCTTCATGGTAGTTGGAGAAGGTGACGGTGCGAAGTTGACACCAAATGGGAAGCTACTCGGTCCGAAATTAAGACCCGGGGTAAGCGGAGAACCGCCATTCATGTTAATTCCACCAAAGCTTTCTTCCAAAAGTGATGAAGGTGAATGGCCTCCCCATGGACCCAGTGGCGACTTGGCCTGACTAAAGCTTCGCGAAACGGAGAAGGGCGAAGGCTCCTTGGTATTGCGAGGAAGGAAAGATGACCCATTAATCTGTATTCTACGTGTCAGTAGAGCACGATCAGAACGGCAGCAAGAAAAGAAGAGCGGGAACTCACCGATGAGGCTGAATGCCTGGCTGAAGTGCCAGAAACACTCCGCATCTGGGATTTTGATCTCTTGGAAATTCTGGGTTGCGCAGACTCGGATTTCAGAGGGCTGGGACTGCTGGCAGCACTCTCAAAATCAAACGCAGCATCCATGGCTTTGTTGCTCGATTCAAGATCGGTGTCTGTGGGAAACGCGCCGTCAAGATTTGGAAGGGAAAGATCCAGACCGAAAAGCGATTCTTCCTTCACTGATGACAAGTCGGGATTCATCCAATCCTCCGTCGCATATCCGAACGGCATGACGGTGTTTTCGCTATGGACAACCGACGCAGACGAGGTCACAGACGGGTTTCGCAGATGATTCCGCGGTGATGTGGAGGAAGAGCTAGGAGAAGAACCATCTGGGGACTCGGCGGGTGAGTCAGACGATACAACATTCACTTGTCGCAACGCATCTTGGTCTTGATACGATCGCTTGAGAGACAATTCCGAGGGCGACAGACACGATGGTTCCGATTCCGCGCCCGGGCGGGATGAAGTGGCGCGTGAGAATATGTCGTCAAAGTCTCTCCCTGCATTTTCCGCTGACATCTGCAACCTCGCGGTATCTAGAAAGTCCATATCTTCGTCCTGGTAAGGGTTCCCCATCTCGTCGTCAACGACAATCGGGTCCAGGAAAGGAAACGCAGGCGAAGAGGCAGCCTCTGCCGATCCCATCATTTGACCTTTACAGCAGTCTTCAGAAGACTAGAGGGAGATGCCTGCAATTCTCCCTAGAGTGCCTCACAGCCTGCTTTCGACCCACACCTTACGTGTTTGCAAGCCAGATTGTTGGTACGGCGGACGGTGGAACAACAGGACAAAGGGCGGCCGACTCGGACGGGAATGTGCTGGGCGGGCGCAGTTGCGGGCGCGATTCTCTTGCCTCCGTCAGCAGTACCCCACGTCCATCAACCGAGGCGACAGCGACACAGGATAGTCTAATTTAGAAGCGGATTGAGGGGAGTGGAAAGTTGTGTATTCCCAGAAGGTGGTTCAAAGGGGAACTGTAGGGTTGTTGAGTAAGGGCGGCTGGCGTAGGGGGGCGGAGGCGGAGGCGCGGCAGAGTTGGGAAAAGGGAGTCACTGTGCAAAATCCAGGCCGGGCGTCGGAGCGCAGAAGTTTCGAGAGTAGTAGATGTGAGCGTGTCAATCCGAGTAAGACCTCGAGGAAAAGGACAGGACTGGAGTGGGAGATGTGAAGGGTGACTCGGGAGACGGCGTCCGACCGGCAAGTGAGTCCTGGAGACGGGAGAGAGAGGCCAAGGACAGGAAGGGGAGGGAGGTGAATCAATGGGTTATCTGCTGACTGAGGCACTTTGCTGTAAAACGACGCTTTGCGAGGATTCGACAGTCGCGGTGAGGCCGCCCCGGAGTGGCGCTAGTCCCAAGATGGACAAATGTCGGCCAGGAACGGAGTAACTAGGCCGCCGAGTTTCCATTGGCCGGGGAACGATCCTGGGAGGGGCGCCCGAAGACGGCAACCAGTGATATCGAGGTGGTATTAATGATCAAAAGTTGCGCCTTCCTATTACTCCGAACATTCAGCTACACCAAGTACTATTGCCTTTAAGTTCGGTGGTAGTCGCCGCTCCCAGAGTGTCTGCGTCTGTCATTGATGGACAAGTCCCTGCACACGTAGCGGGCTAGTCAATAGTACTACTATAGTGCAACCAGATCGTGTCCATGCCTTAGTGAGTGGATGCTGACTCCTCCGATCCTCCCATCATCAGTCGATCGTCTCTCTGAGAATATTACGGATACCAAGAGATGTAATACTATGTTGATCCTACGGTAGGCGGGCGGCTCAGTTCCGAGCCATTGGATCAAGCCTGTCAGATCGCACCGCATTTGTGACACATCTGTATGATATCCTCTCCGTCAACCCGACACGCTCAAAACAGGCCTACCCAATTGGGAACATTACAGTACTTGGCCAAGCAGGTGTTCGTCAAGTGCTAAGCGCGTTTCTCTAATAAATACTGGTTAGTTACCGTAGTTACTTGGTATTTGATCAGCCACGAAAGACGAGCAATTCTGCGGATCGGGGAGTGGCGCTTTGTTCGCGGATCATTATGGAGCATTTCTCACCGTCAATTGGTCCAGACTGCATATCTGCGTTTGCCATTCTCAGCAACTTGACCATCCACCACGTACTACAGCTTAAGTATGAATAAGTTCTCTGCGGCTGCAAAGAAAGGAAAGATGACATTGTTGGGGTAATACATCAAATTAAGCAGAGAGGTAGGGTTAACCAGCAGTATTTCGCATCCAGGAGATGCGTGATGAAATGACGCTACAGTGTAACTCCGAATCATCCGTCATGTTTCCCCTTATTCCCACAATGCACCCTCGGGTCCCGATCAGACCGCAACCTGAAAAGGTGACGATAAGCGTCCTGACAGCATTCGACCCAAGCTCACCGTGCGGAGCAGATAAGGTGCCAATAAAATCCCAAATTTTGGGCATCTTCGCTTAGCAAATCAAGTCACCCTGGACAATATATTACTACTAATAGTATATTGAGTCTGCATTCAAACAGAACTCACCGCACTCGTTTTCAATGACTGGTCGGTTGTCCTAGATTATCTGACAACAGGTTTGGGGGATGCCTACAAAGGGGTCCATAGAAGAATGCAGGTTTCAGTCGACAAAAAAAGCCAAATTATCTTCGGCAGTCACAACCATTTGGGCGTCCTAAAACAACTGCATGTCCACGCGATGTATGGAGTAATTGCAATGTGCCTATAACGGTACTTCCGCAGCGAAGATCTCACGGCAAGCCGATTTTCACTAGCGCAAGGACATCAAAAGAGAAAATATATATGTATGAACTATACGGAAGTAGACGGGAAAATATCAAAAGTGTACCGATCTACGTGGGGGTCTATTTCCTCATGGAGTACTTTCTTGGATGGCTGGTCTTTCGAGGATTACCAAGCGGTGTCGATCAGCCATTCCAGGGAGAAACAACTATTCATGAAAAGTCTGTCATTCACATAGCTGAAGCAGATCGAATTGCTAGTGGTGGAGACCTTATATGGAAATAGCGAATTTCAGGATGCTCTCGCAGTCACTGCAAGTTTATCCCTTCAGCGTAGGCGCCAGAGATTATTGTTGATAGTGTCTTTCTGACTTGTTGATGCCCAAACCAGTAGTAAATAGATAACATCGTAAATCGATGGCTATATATATTCAAGGTTCTATGGTACTGACATAAAGCGATAACTTCGGGCGGTACATGAGTCAGTACTATGAAAAATACCATGCCCTACATAGTCTTTCCTTCAAAAGCTGGGTGCAGATGTGTTGCGTGATATTACAAAGCCTTGTGTTCAAAATATGCAAGGACTGCATTTACCAACAGCCGCCTGATCTATGTAGGGTCATGATGTCGCACAGTGAACGCAGTCAGATCCCAAGCTACAGAAGTACATAGGGATCATGACGCCACGTAGTGCAGATTAGAGTAGTAGCGAGATGAGCGCATGACAAAATCCCGAGGCAAGAATACAAGGTTCCTCGCTCAATAAACGTTTGTGTTATATGATAAGTCGCATTATCTATATTTATACTATGCATACGGAGTACATAGGAACGTGAATTTCGAATCAGCGCTGAATGGCTGGCTGGTTATACACAACAAGAAGTTTTCGCTAGTCATAAGCCTAAAGCCAGGCGTAGGAAACCTATTGAGTGTATGTCCAGCCCAAGCATTTCAATTTGGGGCTGGAGTTCAGTATTCAAGTATGCTTAGGCGAATAGCCACGGTCCCAAGGAGGTTCGCAGCTAGGACAAGACGACCGTTCATATCATCTGCAACACCTGACATTCTTATTCTGGCAAGATACGAAAGATCCGCGGGAGAAAAATTATTCCACAGGAGTCCCTCTATCAAACAAGCATACCGATGGCCGTCGTAGAAAAAAGCTTGGTTGGTCGCTGGTACATGTGGATAGCGAACTCCGCCAATGGGTGTGTTTCGGATTGAAGACCCCAACGGTGCAACTTGGTTAGGGGTCCCACCTATCTACCAGTAACAGACTACCACCAGTGAGCGCCCAGACTCCCAAAAGCTGATGAGAATCAGTAAGGGATTGTACTACTGGACAAAGTCGGGCGCTTCAAGAAGCAATAGCGGTCCCTGCATGTGGCGCGTGGACCCTTAGGGTCCTATCGAAAGGAGCTCTTGCGGCCACGAATGTGTTTTCAACTCAAGGACTAGCCAGCAATCCACACCAACTCCATACAGCAGAAGCTGGCTGCATCCAATCAATACAGGGCTGTTGCTTATTAGCCTCCAAGGGGAGTATTAATCAAAGCTGAGAAGGTGAACGAATCAATCATGGGAAGCTTGACTCTACTTCGTAATGTCTTTGCCAAGACCAAGTCCAATGCGGCCCTCCCTGCAATTAAATCGGCGGTCTCAATCTAATTGTCGGATGGGCCCCGGCCCCAGTTATCATCACTATGTATGTGACGGGATGGCACCATCTCTATTGGGTGGCAGGTGGCATTATTGCGCCCCTCCACCTGAGATCTAAACTTGTCGCTGCTTATTTTTTTTTTCCGGCACTTTTTACACAGTACATGGAGAAGCTCCCATAATAGAAGTGAAAAGCCACTGAGGGAGGTGAGCGAGGGTTCAAAAGGGACTAGTGCGCACGTGGTTGATCGCTTGTTACTGCAATACCACCTGACTACAACTGACTATCGAACTACTCTGTAACAATGGTTGGATGGCAGTACTTCACCCCCGGCTTCGAATGCCTTCTCTTCATTCAATCCAAATTGAACGGATTCCTCTATCTTCAACGACTGACATAACCTAAACAAGCCACTTCCGGCGGACTTGCAACAATGGCATTTCTTGGCAGGGCGGAGTTGGAGCCAGAATAGCTCCAGGTTGAAACTCGCCATGTCGCAGACTGCCGCCGGACGGCCAGAGGGGCGCCGGGATTCGGTCCACTCTTCTGCTCTGGTGAGTAGCTAAATCCGCTGGGCCCTTTTCGGCGCCTCTCCGTCTCCCCTTTTTGGACAACGCTAATGCCTAAGTAGTAACTGGCTCCTGCAAGGGTGTCTCGACCTCCAACTCTGGAACCTACCGGCGTGTTTGTGGTCTGTGGTCTAGTGCCTGCTTTTCATCAATCCCAGACTCTCCGCCTGCGACGACCCTATCCCAATCAATTCCGCGTCTCAGTCGGCCCTGTATTCTGTGGGAACCTGACAGCTGCCAAGAAAATCTAGTTGCAGCATGGCTATCGGGGAGTGAACCTTTCATTTATCCTGGTTCGAAACCGTTCGGTCTGAGCTCTGGGCGGAGACTTGATAGAACGGCGACCATGGCTAGCATTATATAAAGGCGCTGGATTCACGTCTTGCTTCGACCTTTCTTCCTTTCCTCCTCATCAGCTTCTCATTCATTTCTTTCCCGGGGTCTTAGAACCATCCATTCTCTTACTTTCCTTTCCTGGCTTCATTGATTGAAGACCGTTTGCTTCGTCACTCTTTCTTTCCCAACCGATCCCTCTTACCCACGATCACGCTGTGCGTTGATTAACCCAAAGCCTGCAAGATGTCTGTCGCTAAGATTGCTGGTGTCGTCCTCGGCTCGGCCGCCCTTGTTGCTGGCCACGGTTATGTGTCTGGTGCTGTCATCGACGGCGAGTACTACGGAGGATACATCGTCTCCTCCTACCCCTATGAGAGTGACCCTCCGGAGACCATTGCCTGGTCTACCACAGCCACTGACCTTGGCTTCGTCGACGGCTCTGAATACTCGGACCCTGACATCATCTGCCACAAGAGCGCTAAGCCTGGTGCTATCTCCGCTGACGTCAAGGCCGGTGGTACTGTTGAGCTTCAGTGGACTGACTGGCCTTCCAGCCACCACGGTCCCGTCCTGACTTACCTTGCCAACTGCAACGGTGACTGCTCCGATGTCACCAAGACTGACCTTGAGTTCTTCAAGATCGACGAGAGCGGCCTCATTAGCGACACTGAAGTCCCCGGAACCTGGGCCACTGACAACTTGATCTCCAACAACAACAGCTGGACTGTGACCATTCCCTCGACCCTCGAGGCTGGTAACTACGTCCTGCGCCACGAGATCATTGCCCTGCACTCCGCTGAGAACAAGGATGGCGCCCAGAACTACCCCCAGTGTCTCAACCTGAAGGTTACCGGCAGTGGTAGCTCCACCTACTCCGGCACCAAGGGTGAAGCCCTCTACAAGGACACCGACCCGGGTATCCTGGTCAACATCTACGAGACCCTGAGCTCCTACGACATCCCCGGTCCTGCTATGTACAACGCCACTTCCTCCAGCAGCTCTTCTGGCAGCTCCTCCGGTGCCTCTTCTACCAGCTCCGCTGCCGCTGCCGCCGCCACTACTTCCAGTGCCTCGACTTCCAGCGCTTCCACCCCCACCACCAGCGCTGCCGCTGCGACTAGCTCCGCCGTAAGCGCCACCACCACTGCTGCTGCTGCCGTTGTCACCGACGTTGAAACCACCGTTCAGACTGCGGTCGCCACTGCTTACCAGACTTCGACTGACGTTGTGCAGGTCACTGTCACTGGCAGCGCCCCCCAGCAGACCCACATCCAGGTCGCCAGCTCCAGCGCCGCTGCTTCCACCCCCAGCAGCTCCAGTGTCGCCGTCTCCAGCGACAACCTCACCAGCTACTTCAGCTCTCTGAGCGCCGACCAGTTCCTCAGCGTCCTGAAGGAGACCTTCTCTTGGCTGGTCACTGAGAAGAAGCACGCCCGTGACCTCAACGCCTAAGCGCCCAGCCAGACGTGGAAGTTCGGATCATATAGACATTCCTTCTTGTTTCTATCTGACGGCTACACGAGCAGCCGTCTGATGCTCTTTTCGCTCCGGATCGGGTATCCACTTATGTACCTATAAAAAATCAATATTGAAGCTGAGACTTTCAACTGTACCGTTCTCTTGTCGTATTCTTGCGCATTGTTTGTATTGCTCTAGAAATAGAATCGACTCTCCGTAGTCGTTGGTAGTTATTTGTTGACGCTCGTAATAAGGACAACAATAGCCTACCGAATGGCTCAAATGATCCTTATTGATGTGGTTACCAGCATACTAACTTGGTAGATTCCTCCCCAATAATCATGATGATACCCGGTGACCGATTCTCACCCAAAAAGGAAGGGACTGCTACAGAGTAATTTACTGCCTTGCTTCGGATAGACTATTACCTCTCCCCACCTTCAAGTTTCTCTCTCATATTAGAGTATCCAAAGTGCTGCTTATCATCTTCTTTCCCTCTCTGCCCAAGCCATCATGTCGCCCTCGCAGGTCGCACCTCAGCAGCCGGATGACATCCCTCCCCTCCTCCCCCCAAATGAGAAGAGTCAGTATCGAATGATCAAGGAAGCCGAATTTAACAACATGCATGACTTCATGTTATCTCATGGATTGAACGCGTACTACTTTGAGGACTACGGTGAAGTGAATCCGACCATAGACACCATGAGACGGTATGATCAGGAGTATTGGGAGGCCGGGCAGCAGGAACGTTACCAAGAGCACTACGAGGATCAGGAAGCAGGACGTTGCGAACCCAGCCCGGGATATTGCGAGTACTGGGGAGCAGAACTGGCTGGGCAAAAATGTGAGGCTTGGGAGGAAGGACTAGTCAATTCTATCACGATCAGTATGAAGGTTACGAGGGAGACCAGAGCCACCACGACTACGAGGACTGCGAGGTAGATACCGTGAGCCGGTCGAGGAATGCTATGACCAGTCAGACTATGGGGTGGATGATGGGTTTTGCGATGATTATTATGATTGAGCCAAGAACTGGTGAGTAGGCCTCTATTTTGTGCTTTTGCTCTACCTAGATGCCGGCGAAGTATACAACAGGACTTGACCTGAAAAGGTTTCGGTAAGACTCTCCGGCAGGTACTACCGCTATCGTTCTACATGATACAGGACAGAAAACTGAATTGTGTTTATAGTGGACGTTAAGGGTCTTTGGCACTCTCAAGGAGTTCACGCTTTGATTGCTAGTGATGATGTTAGTCGGTGATGTATCCGGAGAATGTTTTGAAACCTCGGAAGCGGGGACCACGCGGGCGATTGTTGTTGCGGTAGTCAAATCCATTCGTTCGTCCCCCTCAGCAGATCTCCGAATAGCATCTTCTTCCCTTTATCCACTCCCGGACCCTCCATTCCTACTGGCGTGGGCTGCATGGATTATATTGCCATTTGATACTCGTCTATCGGAGCACTGCACCCTCGTTCCTCCATCATGTTCAAGAAGAAGCCCACGGTACGTTACCCCTCCCCCGCACCACTCTGGGATCGGTCACAACACGGAAAGGTCAATCGTGCCTTTAGAGCTCATTACTCACGCTAGCCAAACGCAGATCAAGAACCTTTCTCCCCTGCGGTCTTCCGACCGTCGGAAGATTGCCGATCAGATAATCAGAGATTACAAGATCGAGGTCCCGCAAAGTGCGCCAGTTGAAACCAGCGGCGACGACTCAGCTCCAGGCGCATCCAACTCAACGGCGCCAAACCTCACCTCCATCCGAAATGCCTTACTTCCCGAGGATTGCTTGACCGCACGCTTTACTACGACCGCCGGGCCCCAGCTTCGCGAAGTACAAGGGACAGTGTATGTTGGAACACATCCGGGGGCCGACGAAAGGATCCTGTGGTTCAGAGTCGACCATGGGCCCGGCGCCGATGGACGCCTCTACCCTACGGTATATACACTTTGGCACAACCCAGATCTGGTGCCACTGCTCCATACTCCACAAATGGTCATGCAGAAACTGCACGGAGGAGCAGACCTGATGACTCCGGGTCTGGCCAATGACCCGCCTTTCGACGAGCGTGCCGTCAAGGGCGCAGTGGTTGCTGTCGCTAGTCTGAACAGGCATACGGTACCATTGTTTGTGGGCGTGTGTGAGATTGACATCTCTGCACTTGGAGAGGTTCAGGGTACGAAGGGACATGCTGTTCGGGGTCTGCACTGGGAAGGCGATGAGTTGTGGGCTTGGAGCTCGTCTTCCAAGCCGGGTCAGCCCGCTCCAGAATATCTAGAGGGGTGGGATGATGAACTGGAAGAGGACGAAGATGTAGGAGAGATTGAAGAGGGAGTGCAGGGCCTAGCAGTAGGAGGTGACGATGCAGTTCAAGCAACTGGAGGCGAGGAAGCATCAGATGAGGCGCCTGATGTCCCGCAGGAGGAGGCACCTGAAGTTGAAGAGAAGGAGCCCACAACCAAAGGTGAGTCTCGCTCAATACAACCTGAGTGTAGCTATACTGACCGCTTGAAGAGATTGACGAGGCTTTCGAAAAGGCCTTCCTCTACTCCCTCTACAAGCTCAAGCAAGATAATCCATCTGCTACCAACCACGGTCTATCTCTACCTGTCCAACCATCTGCTCTGATATCAAACATGATCACACCCCACCTGCCCATATACACTGCCAAGCAAGCCCAATACTATCAAATCAAGAAGACCAGCTGGAAAAATGTGAAAAAGTTCATCAAATATCTGGACAAGCAGCGCCTGGTCAAGTCCAAAGACCGCAACGGCCAAGAGACCGTCATCCTCGACGTGGACTTCAACGACCATCGTGTTGAACAGTTCATCCCTTACAGACTCCCATCCAAGAATACCGTTGAGAACGCAGGAAAGCCTGCCACTCAGGCAAATAACGCCAAAACCGCATCTACACAGAGCGGTGACCCCTCAGTCGGCCAAACCCTGACCGTGCAGACTGTATATCGCCCAACCAACAAACTCACGCCAACCATCTTCCCTGCTCTATCCAGCACCCACCCCAGCAACTACTACAAGTACACCGACATCTCCACTCACCTCGACCAATACATCCAATCTCAAAATCCCCCACTCGTCGACCCCAAAAACAAACGCATCATCACCCTCAACCCCTACCTCGCCAACACCATCTTCACCTCTTCCTCCGCCGATGACAAAAGCACTCTCGCCCGCGGCAAGACCACCCGCGACGGCCTCCTCAAGCGTCTCATCGATGACCACTCCCTCATGACAGCCCACTACGTCATCCTACGGCCAGGTCAAACCCTCTCCGACGTGAAGCCCAAAGCAGGCGCCGCCCCCAAGGTCAACGTAATTCTCGAACGCCGCACCGGCTCCAAGACCGTCACCAAGGTCTGGAACCTCGAAGTGTTCGGCATCATCCCTAGTCTTCTGGCCGAAGAGCTGCAGAAGAAGTGTGCTAGCAGCACCAGCGTGACGCAGGCTACTGGCGCGCCGAAGGGCGTTATGGAGGTGCTTGTCCAGGGAGACCAGCGACGCGCGTTAGAGACGGCGTTGGTGAGACGTGGGTTGAGGACGCAGTGGATTGATGTTGTGGATAAGACGAAGAAGAAGAAATAAGCAATCGGGATAAAAAGGGCTGAAAGAGTGATGGTTTTACATATGTTACCGTTCTATACGTGCAGTAGTTGATGGATATATGTGCAAACCTGGCTATTGCCCTCGATATCTCTACTACTTGGAAGGAACTCAAGTAATGTAGCTCTGGGTATCACTAGTTGTGCACTGCATTAGTATAGGGTGCTGCTGCTAAGCATTGTAATTCCATCATATAACCAGTCGCAATTTTGCTTACCTAGTTCTGTTTCTAGCCTTGTCATGGATTCTTTACAATGGCATACTCACCAGCCAGAAAGAGGAAACTAAATGGTAAAGATGGATTCCAGAACATTCTATTTCGAGTATCTAGAATGTAATATCCACCGAAGAAAGAAAACCGATCAATAAGAATAACCCTTAAAAGGAGAAAAAAAAAATAATGAAATTATACAACGCCATTATGGTACTATGGTCTTCAAAGTCCGGGGGTAGTAATTCGAGCCAAAGTCATGCTTTTTGTATCCCATCCCTTATTCCCATTTTCTCTCGAAGCAACGAATAAATAAGCAACTGTTGTCCTTGATGAGAATTGCAACTTTTCGTTTTTTTGATTTAGATGACGTTATTTCGTTTACTCCTTGGCGTCCACCTTCTTGGCCGGGTGGTCGCCGTTCGCCTCGTCTTCGGCGGCACGCTTCTGGCCGGTTTCGGCGGTGCTCTGAACAATGGGGACGCCGCTGGGGTGTTTTGTTAGTATACATTTGCTTTGAGAGATGGGGTAGGGAAGGTGGTGATCGGGGGGAAGCAGAAATCAATACATACCGAGCATCCTTCTGAACCTCAGTGCGCTCCTCCTTGGGCTCACTCTTCTTGTCGTTGAAGCCGTTCTTCTGGTCAGCCGCGCGGCGTTCCCTCCAGTCGCGGTTGTCACGGCCACGGTTTCCACCACGGCCACGGCCGCGACCGCGCTGGAAGCCACCGCGTCCACGAGAGCCGCTGGGCTTCACGCGGCCAGCCTCAATTTCGCGCACCTTCTCGTCGCAGTAATCCTTCTTGCTCTTGATGAGCAGGTCCTGTCCCTTCCACTGGGGCTTGGGGTCCAGGGCCAGGAAAGCCTTCTGCTTCTCCTCCGACTCGAACTCAACGAAAACACTGCCCTTGAAGGTCTTGTCATAGGCACGACGCAGACGGATGGCGTTGACGGGTCCGTAGGGGGCGAAGAAAGCTTCGATGTCAAGCTGGGTAGTCGGCTCCTCGTCGCCGAAACCCTTGGCGTAGATGCTACGGCTCATGGCCTGGTCCTCGAACACCTTGACCACGTTGTGGTCGTGAGTCTGCGACACGGACTCCGGAAGGGGCGTCTTCCGGCGCACGGAGGTATCGTTATCGGTCAGCTCAAGCGTCTCGGACGACTTGAGGGCTTCAACCACGGCGCTGAAGGGCTGGAAGCGGCGCATGCGCTTGAAGGAGTGCAGAAGCTCCAGAGGAACGGAACGGTTGGCGCTGCCGCCAACCTTGGAGAACAGGAACTTGTCCATGGGCAGGTTGGAGTCAGAGAAGTAGAACTCAACCTGCTTGCGAATCTCGACCGGGTCATCAGTCACCTGCTGCGTGGAGGGGTCAAACTTGGCGTTGTTGCGGCGGTTGAAGCGGCCCTCGCGACCCCGGTTGTCGTTGCGAGATTCCTGTGTTTTGGATTCCTTCTGCTCTTCAGCCTTCTCAGACTTCTCGCCCAGCTTGGCGGCGGCCTCGACAATGCGGGCTTCCTCGGCATCTTCGGCCTCCTTCTTCTCAGTACCGTTGGCGGGGGCTTCGTTCTCGCCCTTCAGCTCGGCGAGGACGTTCTGGACATCCTTCTCAGCCTCAGCGTTGGGCTGGGCGACGGGCTTTTGCTCTTCGGACATGGTCACGGAGCTGTGTTGTAGGAGGATAAGGGGATAAGGAAGGAAATTGATTTATAGGGTCTATACTAGAGTTGAAATATATCAGTCAGTAATTCCTACATATCGTCAAAAGCAGAGTGCCACAGGCAAATAAGTCCAAGATGAGGGCAGGGTGCAATCCCGCGTCAGAACCATGATACGGACCGATTTGGCCAATGATGGACGGAGAACCGCGCGACGGCGATGCGGAGAATAGAATGAAGGAAGCAAGCAGGGCACTTGTATCTTACCTAGAATGCGCGAGCGCAAGATAGAAATATAAGCGGAAAAGAGGAATCGCCCGGGAAAAGACACCTGCAAGTAATTTAAAGACGAGCTCCAGATGCGAGAGGGAAAATGGCCAGGCCAATTAATGCGCGGCGGGGGAAATTTTCTGAGCGCCGCAGCGGAGCAACTGTCTTGCTCGCCTCAGGCAGCCAGGCGGCCGTGTTTGTGTGGCGCAAACAGCTGACTTGGCCGCTTTAGGAAAGTAGCCGGACTGACCTCTTTTACAAAGTCGAAAGAAGCACAGTGTTTGGTCACATCATGACTACTCCCTCACGAATCCTGCATAGCCGAATAGGCCGCTTGAGGGAAAAGTGAAGCTGGGTTGGAACAGGTGCTTGGGTTCTTATTTTACCAGTTAGGTATATACTTGGAAATTCGGAAAGTCCCAAAACATGTGGCATGCTGCTACAACAGACGACAATCACCGTAGTAGGTACCAATCAGACATGCATCTGCTGTTGTTGCCTAGCCGGCTTTCAAGCGCAGGCGGTCAATATCAACCCCTCAGAAGCAATATTGAATATCGTCCAAGTACTTAGCAGACTGGCCTCAACACCCTGGTTTACTATAGACCGTTCCAACCGAAAGTTGTTGCTCTTCTACTCCATCGTATACTACCGTTATGCCTCCCAGAGCAATATTCCTCGTATCATCCCGAAATAGCCCGAGCCAGCGTGCCCATTTCTCAATCTTCGTTCCGTCAGTCGCTTGTTCCACTATAGGTACTTCGATACACGTTGTGGGTGCGCCTATGATGGGCTATCAACTCGAGTTCAAACGGAATCACTCCCTATCTTCAAACGCAGAGCCATATGAGACGGCATTGCTTGGATATGTCGACTCTCACCATATTGCGGACTCCCCAGGAGAGAGGAGTATGTTCGTAGACCATGCCCCGAGGGATGATCTTGAAATCGCAGCCAGTCAGATACCGGCCTCCCGTGTCAGTGAGAATTTCATGGCACCTGTTAATGACGTGAGTAATAGTTGAGAACCTCACTGCCGGTGCTCCAGCCTGACATGCACAGACCACCAACAGGAGATGTCAAGAGTGGACTATGGAGTTTATTCGTCATCTGGTTGTTCGGGGTCTACTTGAGGAGAAAGCGGTTCAGATTGTCCAATCGAAACGTGATTCGCCAGCCCATGGATTCGGTTTGCAGCCTTCTGAACGACGCTTAGTCTGAGGGGGATATCCAAAGTGATGCAAGAACAAAGTATTAATGGATGTATGACTTGGAAAGTCTTGGCTCCTAGCTACCACTAGTGAAGGCAACCCGAGAGACATTGCTATCAAACAAAGTCAATGAATATGGGTTGGAATACTTCGAGTTGAGATAAAACTAGAAAAAAGCAAAGCAGATGCCCGGCACTTCCCCAGAAGGGGGTATGTACTACTGCACTTTGGACTGAGAGCACCTGCCCTTTCCGTTTTGGTTCAGCTCCGTTGGAGCCTTTCAGGCTGTCAGCACCATAACCTTTTTTTCATAGTTACTGACTCCAGCCTAACCTTTCCTTCGGTATCATGTCCGCAACATAATATCTAGGTGTCAGACGGGTTTTGTTGATATACTTCGGACTACCACATTGCATTATTTCACAGAGGTTGTGCGATTGTTTCGCTCTCCTAAGCCGTTCATCCAAGCCAATATGTCATACAATATTCTAAGGTATGTGAAAGTGTGCTTTTGCTGCTATTTCCATATTCTACCAGGGAAGAAGCTAACAGGATCAACCCTCATCAGCAAGGCATGTTGATAGTTGCTGGAACCCGCGGCGACCGAAAAGAGAGCTCCTTCTATCCGAGTAGTGTACGAAAGACCACTTGCTTTTCAACGAATACGGTTTGCTTCGGGCACCTTTGACGGTTCTTCGCGAGTGTTAAACTTATAAATTTAGCATTTATAGAGACCTGCGGAGGATTTGAACTGGTCAAGCCGAAACGAAACGCCAGCTCGCCTCATCATGGCCGAGGAACTAGTGTCCGAGGTGTTAGTCGCATGGCCTACTAGAGATGTAGGCTTGAAGCCAAAATATTGGAAGACAAGTACACTTACTATGGGCTTAGATCATTTACATTTCAATCCTCGGACCGTTGTTGCTTGCAGCGCTATTGGAGTGGTTTCTTTTCCTTGCTGCGTTTATTTACTGTCTGATCAAAGTATATCAGAAGGCCGATCACTGGAGTATTCGAGTTCTCGCAGTCATCATGGCCCTTCTCATCACGCTGTGTAGGTGAGCTTGTGTAAGTGCAAAGTTTCATGAAAGGAACTATCATAACACTCATGTAGGGGAATCTTCCTTCCGGTGATGATTGCTATTCTTCCACTACCACCGCAGATCACGCAATATTTTCCTCATCAGCTCGTGTCGGTACTACAATGGTTCGCATTCTGGGCATTCTCTGCGCTTCTCATCATTCCCTGGCTATTTTGTGTCAATAGATTCGTGATTCACTCCTTAGGGCGAACCAAAAGGGTGAAGGAGGCTTTGGATGACCGCACCGCACCGAAAACTGTCATCGTCATGCCAGTATACAAAGAAGACCCCGTCGTTCTGATCAAGGCAATTGACTCAGTCGTTAACAGTGACTATCCTAGTTATTGCATCCATGTCTTTCTGTCCTATGATGGATGCAACATCGACGAACCTTATCTCCAAGTGATCAATCATCTTGGAATTCCGATTTCGCTGGAGAGTTACCCGCAGAGCATTGATGTGACATACCAAGGAGCAAGAATCACTGTGTCAAGATTCAAGCACGGTGGCAAACGCCATTGCCAGAAACAGACCTTCAGGCTGATTGACAAGGTTTATGCCGACTATCTAAAGCATCATGACGATCTATTTCTGTTGTTCATCGATTCAGACTGCATTCTTGACAAACTATGTCTGCAGAACTTCATGTACGACATGGAATTGAAACCAGGGAGTCAGCATAATATGTTAGCGATGACAGGCATCATCACTTCGACCACAGAGAGAATTTCCCTGATAACTGTTCTGCAGGACATGGAATACATTCATGGGCAGCTTGTTGAACGTACTGTGGAGTCTGGTTGCGGCGCTGTAACCTGCCTACCGGGAGCACTGACAATCCTACGATTCTCAGCTTTCCGCAAGATGGCGAGATACTACTTCGCAGACAAAGCTGAGCAATGTGAGGATCTCTTCGACTATGGCAAGTGTCACTTGGGAGAAGATCGCTGGTTAACGCACTTATTTATGATCGGGGCGATTGAACGCTATCAGATTCAGATGTGCACAAGTGCTTTCTGCAAGACAGAGGCGGTACAGACGTTCTGTAGCCTGCTTAAACAACGACGCCGATGGTTTCTCGGCTACATAACCAACGAAGTGTGTATGCTGACTGATGTCAGATTGTGGAAACGCTACCCACTATTGTGTCTGGTGCGCTTCATGCAGAACACAATCCGGACGACTGCATTGCTATTCTTCATTCTGGCGATCTCGATCATCACAACTTCCAGCAAGATCAAGAACCTGCCTGTTGGCTTCATTGCAGTTTCGCTCGGTCTCAATTACATCCTCATGGTTTATTTTGGGATAAGACTCAAACGATTCAAAGCCTGGCTCTATCCCCTGATGTTCATCCTGAATCCTTTCTTCAATTGGCTTTACATAGTGTACGGGATTTTTACTGCAGGCCAGCGAACGTGGGGCGGGCCTCGAGCTGACGCAGCCAAAGCTGATGAGCATACTACACCAGAGGAAGCGGTCGAGAAGGCTAGGGTCCAGGGGGATGAGCTAAATGTCCAGGTAGACACCTTTCGAACGAAAACTGAAGAGAAAGGCGTTCCAATCCGGCCTTCATCCAAGGTCAATGGTCGCCTCTCATTTGCGCCACAGCTTCCAGATCGGTATTATGACTATCAAGGTGCTCTGGGGACCAGTCTCGCTAAATACCTGACCCCCCTTCCAGACGTGCCTCGCATCGGCCTTCATCCACATTGCTCATCTGACTCGGTCGCGACATCCGACTCTGGCGGTAATTCAATTTCTTTGCCCCAGCATGTGGAAACCTTGATGAGTGCCGAGGAACGAGCAAAACTCTACATTGGTAGCCAGGCGCAGGAGTCCACCGGACTTCTACACACACAGGAGGCAGACGGTGGAGAGCGTGGCCTGGACGTGCAGTCTAACGAGGACCTGGAAGACAACCGGGCGTATGAAATGCATACTATTGAGTCAGGGAGCGGCATTCCGAGCGGAAAAGCCCCGGTACTATCGTCAAGCGTGCCGCAATCTGGGATGCAACAATCTGGAGCTGTTCCTGGGAATATGTCTCAGCCCCATGAACACTTGCCACAGCCAAAATATACAAAGCGTCCTAGCAGGATTCCGAGGCAGAAGAGGAGATATATGCAACCAGAACAAATGGTTTGAACCGAAAGGCAGTGCATGAGAGTGACTTGGGAATAGAGCCCGACTGACCAGAGTACTAGAGCCTGTCTTCATGCACACATGTGTAATGAACTAGTTACTCGATTCTCTTTCAGTCATGGCTTTTCGATCCGTTGCCTATTCACATCCTTTGTATTCTAATAACTTTTTCTCGCATTATCAACCAAGCCGAAGTTACTATTCTCTGAAATCATGGATGTGCGTATGGTAAAGTCGTGTCTACTCTACTTGGTCTTGATAACCAGTAGAGTAAGACAAATGGATATTTACATGTTACCAAGCATGACACAACAATTTGGATATGATGATCGGATGATTCTTCTCGACAGAAGTCTGCAAACCAACGAGACCGTAAGATACCGATATACCAGCTGCAGTATCCGGGTCTATCAGACGTTTAACAACAGCTATAGAGTGCCAAACACACCCTCGTAGTTAACTGAAACGCAGGAGTGGCCAAAAAGATATGCACATGATGAGTCATCACCAACGGGAGAAAAACTCTGAACTATCGATAAGCCCCGCCAAAGCGGTCAGGTAGGGTTCTGCCGGCACACGGGGAGCGGTGAAAGGTGGGAGGCGTCGAGCAGCAGCCAGAAGGTTCGACGAGCGCCCAAAGAAGCCGGTGAAGCTGAGCTGGGATGCTTGCGAGCGCCAGGTCCCTTATTTATTCCTGTAATCCTCCGACCCGGGAACACCTGCTTCTTATATATATATATCTGTCTGCATTGATCTCCTCTAGTGCGTAATTATACATTTTTAATTTGTCTCCCAAGTGGAACCCCCCATCGAATTTGCGCCTAGATAGTATCTGCCTGATAGATACTACTAGTTTCAGTGACTGACGAGCCAGCGGTGCCCACGTTGGAAAATCGACGCCTCACCGCCCGCGAGCTTTAGTGGCGGGTCCTGCAGTTCTCGCAGTGCAAATTCTCCCCCTCCGTCTCGCTCTTTTCTCTGCCCTCTTTGGATCCTCCCCCAACCTCTCCCCCTCAGTCCCATCTTCCACTTTTTTCCTCTTTCATCCTCTCCATCACTCTTCTACTTCTTCTTCTTTCCCCTCTCTCCTCTTTTTCTTCCCCCCACTCTCTTCTCCCCCCTCTCTACCTCTTCCTCATCTAGACAATGTCTGTCGTCGGTATAGATTTCGGTGCCCAGAGCACCAAGGTCGGTGTTGCCCGTAACAAGGGTATTGATATTGTGCGTCACTCTTCCCCCTCTACCCAATTTTCTCTTCCCCTCCGAGCGCTGCCCATCCGCTCGTCATATTGATCTCAAGTAATTACTAACTGGTCCATTGTGATGGCTTACAGATCACCAACGAAGTTTCCAACAGATCTACTCCGTAAGTTCGCCCATTCACTTGCTTATCATGATTTTTTATGTCGGCGCCATATTCGCTGCCCTCACCAGTATACCTGTTACCCAGCCGTGTACTGACTTGGTTTTCTCCCACACAGTTCCCTTGTTGGCTTCAATGCCCGCTGCAGAGCTCTCGGTGAGGCCGCTAAGACGCAAGAGACTTCCAACCTCAAGAACACGGTCGGCAACCTGAAGCGCCTGATCGGCCGCACATTCAGCGACCCCGATGTTGCGATCGAGCAGGAGTACACCACGGCTCAGCTTTGCGATGTCAATGGCCAGGCCGGTGCCGAGGTCAGCTACCTCGGAAAGAAGGAGAAGTTCTCGGCTACTCAGCTGGTCGCCATGTACCTGACCAAGATCCGGGACATCACCTCTAAGGAGCTGAAGCTTCCTGTCTCCGACGTCACTATCAGCGTTCCCGCTTGGTTCACCGACGTCCAGCGCCGCGCCATGCTCGATGCCGGTGAAATCGCTGGCCTCAAGGTTCTCCGCCTGATCAACGACACCACCGCCACCGCTCTCGGTTACGGTATCACTAAGCTCGACCTGCCCGGCCCTGAGGAGAAGCCCCGTCGGGTCATGTTCGTCGATATCGGCTACAGCGACTACACTGCCTCCATCGTCGAGTTCCGCAAGGGTGAGCTCAACGTCAAGGCTACTGCCTACGACCGTCACTTCGGTGGTCGCAACTTCGACCGTGCCCTGACCGAGCACTTCGCCGATGAGTTCAAGGAGAAGTTCAAGATCGATGTCCGCTCTCACCCCAAGGCCTGGTCTCGTACCCTGGCCGCTGCCGAGAAGATGAAGAAGGTCCTGTCGGCCAACCCTGCTGCCCCCATGAGCATTGAGTCTCTGATGGAGGACGTCGACGTCCGCGCCATCGTTAAGCGTGAGGAGCTCGAGACCATGGTCAAGCCCCTTCTGGACCGGGTCACCGTTCCCATTGAGGAGGCCCTGGCTGAGGCCAAGCTCAAGCCCGAGGACATTGACTTCGTCGAGATGGTTGGTGGCTGCACCCGTGTGCCCGCCATCAAGGACGCCGTCGCCAAGTTCTTCGGCAAGACCCTCTCTTTCACCCTCAACCAGGATGAGGCCATTGCTCGCGGCTGTGCTTTCAGCTGTGCCATCCTCTCCCCCGTCTTCCGTGTGCGTGACTTCTCCGTTCACGACATCGTCAACTACCCCATCGAATTCACCTGGGAGCAGTCTGCCGACATCCCCGACGAGGACACCAGCCTGACCGTTTTCAACCGCGGCAACGTTATGCCTTCGACCAAGATCCTTACCTTCTACCGCAAGCAGCCCTTCGATCTTGAGGCCCGCTACGCCAAGCCCGAGATGCTGCCCGGCAAGGTCAACCCCTGGGTTGGCCGCTTCTCCGTCAAGGGTGTCAAGGCTGATGCCAACGACGATTTCATGATTTGCAAGCTCAAGGCTCGTCTGAACCTTCACGGTATCCTCAACCTGGAGTCCGGATACTACGTTGAGGACATGGAAGTCGAGGAGCCTGTTCCCGAGGAGGGTGATGTGAGTGATAAACCCCCGAGGTCATTTTCGCGAGATGTTCCGATTACTGACAACTGATTAGGCCATGGACACCGATGGCAAGGATGGTGAGCAGCCCAAGAAGACTCGCAAGGTCAAGAAGCAGGTTCGCAAGGGCGATCTGCCCATCTCGACTGGCACTACCTCCACCGATGAGTCCGTCCTGAACGCCTGGACTGAGCGTGAGAACTCCATGTACATGGAGGACAAGCTCATTGCCGAGACCGATGAGAAGAAGAACGAGCTCGAGTCTAGCATCTACGAGCTGCGTGACAAGATCGACGGCGTCTACTCCGAGTTCGCCAACGAAGAGGAGAAGGACAAGCTGCGGGCTAAGCTGACCGACACCGAGGTAAGTTTTCAGAACGTTCGTTCCATCTGTCGTTTACCAGAAACTAATTGAGTTGTTCAGGACTGGCTCTACGAGGAGGGTGAGGACACCACCAAGTCGGTCTACGTGGCCAAGATGGACGAGATCCGCTTCGTCGCCGGTCCCATCATCCAGCGCTACCGCGAGAAGCAGGAGGCCGAGCGCCAGGCCCAGGAGGAGGCCGCCAACAAGAAGCGTGCCGAAGAAGAGGCCAAGCGTAAGGCCGAGGAGGAGGCCAAGAAGGCCGAAGAGGAGGCTAAGAAGGCCGAGGAGAAGCCCGACGCTGAGATGAAGGACGCTCCGGCTGAGGGCGAGAAGCCCGCTGAGCAGTAAATTTGCTCAATTGGTAGATAACGGTGAGCCCAGCTGTGGGATCGCAGCTTGATGACAATGTGGTCACGAACAATGCAATCATGTTGAACCCCTTCAGTTGTTTATTACGGATTTCTTTTTATTATTTTCTCTTATTTTTTTCTTCACTTTATTCTGGCCGGGTGTCGGCACTGTGATGTAGAACGACATGATCTCCCCTTTCAGTACTTGCTTTCCCTCACCGCGTTTATTTATGGTCGGCCTGGAGATGATGGCCAGGTCAAACGGTGGAAGCAAACTGGCAGGGGCAAAAGAACTAGAGATATGCCATGGCGATGTGGATAGACCTGCTTGAAAAGTATATGATTGGTAATACAGAATATAGTATCTTTGCCCATGCAGTATGCTTGATCTTACAGGATGCTTCTCGGTGTTTAATTAGTAGTAGTGGACAGAGTGAGCCCAGTAGGGTAAAGATTACCCTTAATCGGAGTAACAGCGCCACATATTAAGTCAGTTATGACACGACAGTCCAAGTCGTTCGCCACCTTTCCAATGAAGACAAATAAATTTTTACTGCTATTCCCCGATTTCAAACACCTGAGAGTATTACTCTTAGTGTTTGATGCCGATAAACAACAGAATACCAAATGAACTACTTTCGGCACCAATTATACTTTTAGCACATCACCCAACACTCCCTCCCCAGCAAGATCATGCATCAAATCCACCCACACCCACCTCTTCATAATCCCTCGCAACTCCCCCCACGTCCTGATCTCCAACTTCTCCAACCATTCCCGCAAATACCCCCTCATCCAGAGATCCGTCCCCAGAAACGACGGCAGCGGCGGCAATGCAAGGATCCCGACCATCAAAAGCCAGAGGATAAGTTCCGAGGAATCCTCCTCCTCATCTTGACGACGTTGGCATTGTTCCATCAACGACAAAAGACATGATTGATACGAGGCAGGGAAATATACGAAAGGCAGTGTCTTATCCTGCCACTGAAGGAAGGTATGATGGCAGAAGGTGAGGAGACCTAGACGGAAGGCTTCGTTGTTGCTGTTCATGGGGAAAGGCATTTGGAGAAGACGATACATTACGGAGGAGAGCGTGGAAGGGATGATGTCTGGGGAGAGGCGGCGTTGGGGGGTCTCGGTGATGCTTGTGTTGATTAGGGTGCAAAAGTTTTGGAGGACGTGAAAGGTTGTCTTTAGGGTTGGGTCTAAATGAAGTTGGGGGAGGAGGGGATTGTTAATTTGGTTCAAGGTGGGGTTGAAGATGGTGGGGAATGGAGTGAGTGGCTCGAGGAATTTGTCTCTGAAGAACATGGGCGTGGTGTTGTTTTGGAGGGCGAGGCCTAGGTCCCATCTAATGGTGGTCAACTATTGTAGTAGGTTGGCTGTTATGGGGAAGTAGGTGGCTTACCTGAACAGCTCGATGAGAATCTTCTGGCTTTCAAATAAGCGCAGACCTCCTCGAAGATCCATGATTGTTCGAATGCCCTCCATGTGTTTCTGCGCGACCTCCGATTCGCCCATCAGATGCGCTGTCATGGCTAGCATTAGTACGGTTCGTACAGTGAAGTCGGATATTTTTGTCTGGAGATCGACGCCCGTCAGTCTCTCGCGGAGGATCTGCACGCCCTTTGCAAAATGGAGCATGGTCCTGCGATTAGCAAGTAGTTCATCGGCATTCTGTCGGCCGTGAACCGAGCCCATGAACACCTCTGATGCGGACACGGTGAGATGCAGATACGCTGCATCGGAGCGTATAGAGTCGTGGAACCAGGATTTATCCCTACAGTCGAAATCAATCAAGAAACCCAATGGGAAGAACATTTGCATTGATAATTTGGCGACTAAATGGTATTCGCGTTAGCTACGCAAACGAACGATGGGTTAGGATACGGGAGAACCTACTTACATCGTAGTATATCAGCGAAGGTGCGGGAGTCCACTTGAACGGCGAATTGAGCGAAAGACGGATCAGGCCCCACGACTAGTTTATTCGACTGGATGATGTCGGAGTCCTGATACATTTTCGTTAATTGTGGCGATGGAAGCTGATCCTGCTGTATCGGACTGGGTTTTTTCCGTCGGTCGTATCGAGGCCGCCCTTTGTTTATGCCTTGCATTACATGGCTTCGGATAAGTCGACGGGTACTTCTGTCGGGCTTTTTGTTATCTGTTGATATAATGAAGTGCATGATTTGGTGGAGATAGCTCCAGTTGTATGCGCGATTTAGTAGGATGTGAAACGGGGAGCTCGGTCGAGATGCTGGCTGTGATGTGAAATCATAAAAGTAGAATGACATTCAGGGTCTTAATATCATTTACCCGAACAGGAACTTGAAGAGGGTGAAGGGGGCTTTCATGGTTGGTTTGTCAGCTGGTGATGCTGACAGGAACCGATGGCGTGTCGCTGCTTCTAATATCATTTGCCGATTCCGGTATAGTCACCGGCCTTGGTATACTTCCTGCTGGATTCACTCGGCGACACCATATCTACAATACTATTTTCCTTCTTGGGAAGCTGGAAGCAAGATAAATATCTTCTCAAGATGTCTCCCATGGTGAGTTTCTTTCTCTCTCCAATTACCAGAAATTCCTGATATATTCTTACTCTTTTGCAATTCGCACCATGTCCACAGATCGAAAGACCGTCCTCATCACGGGCTGCTCCGATGGAGGCATCGGAGCTGCACTGGCTGAGACCTTCCACGATCACCGTTATCATGTCTTTGCCACTGTGCGCACGCCATCAAAGGCCCCCAAGTCTCTCATCAACTCTCCCAATGCCACCGTCCTCACCCTGGATGTGCTGGACTCGACGTCTATCTCTGATGCAGTGGAAAAGGTGACGAAAGCCACTGGCGGCAAGCTTGACGTTTTAGTAAACAATAGTGGAGGCAGCATTATTCTCCCCGCTTTGGATACTTCAATCGAAGACGGCAAAAAGTTATTCGACTTGAATTTCTGGGCGCCCTTAGCTGTGACGCAGGCCTTTGCTCCTCTACTGATCAGGTCCAAAGGTTGTCTTGTAAACAATACATCAGTGAATGGAGCTCTACCATTTGTATTCATGAGTGAGTCCAGTCCCTCTCCAAATACAGTCACAGAGCCTGGCATTCTCTAACTAGTATATCTCACTTAAGGCATGTACAATTCCTCAAAAGCGGCCTTTATGAACGCCAGCGAGACTTGGCGTATGGAGCTGGCTCCGCTGGGTGTTCGGACCATCACTCTCATTACTGGTGGTGTGAAGACCAAGTTCTTTGACAACTACGTTCCTCGCCAGGTTCCGGAGAACTCATATTACATTGGAGCAAAGGATGCTGTTCAGAAAATGGGAGATGGGAGCTTGCAGGATAGCGGCATCGATAGGTACTTATATGCCTCTAAAGTGTTTCAGGCGGTCGAGAGGAAGGAATCAGGAAAGCTGTGGGTTGGTGGAGGCGCTGTTCCTGCGAAATGGGCACTGTGGTTATTGCCGCAATGGGGTGTGGTAGGTATCCTTCTCTTGTTTGCTGCAGAGTACCTACGTGGCATCGATGAAGATGATGTACTAATTGCTTTGGTAGGATTTGATGATGAGGAAAATGTTTCCTGTGTTTGGAACAATCGAAGCTGGGGTGAAGAAAGACGCCTAAAGTCGTATAATAGCTGCGCAACCGTCTTGACTGCCTAGCTGGGGTTACGCAGTCGCCGTGCTATTATTCTCAGAGTAATTGTGTATGCTTTTTTTTCCCCCAGAATTTGGTATCATTTATATAGTAGTCGCTTTTAGCCTATACAATTATACTCACCTGATGAGCTCTGGAGTCCTTTCCTCGTTTGCATACACTAAACCATCGCATCTCACCAGTTTTCTTGTCTTTTGACCAAACTCACCAATGCAAGAGCCAGCACTCATCCAGTATCTCTTCGCTTATCAGCCAGACGATCATTATCCAAGACTATACATCTATGGGGAGGCCTAGCTAAGCCCAACTAGCACCCCATTCTCATTCTCGAAAGTCATGCTAATGCGTTCCGTCCATGGCCTAGTATTATAATCTGACACGGTTGAGAAGGTTTGGAATATGCGAGCCACAATATATGTGAGCACAGTCATAGCATAATGTTCTGCTCCTTTGTTAGCCAGTGCATCTTGCGCATCACCATGAATGAACGAAAGCTTACGGCCAGGGCAGATTCTAGGACCCTTATTGAACGGTAAATAGCCAGCCATGTCTCCGCTTAGCTGTTCCCACCGCTCTGGACGGAATTCCTCAGGATCCTCCCCAAAATCCTTCCCTAAACGATGCCTAGCCCAGGTAGAAAAAACCACAAGGTCTCCTTTCATAACAAGAACCGGCTTATCACCATGAGCTCCACCTCCAGTTGGCAGGGTTGATTCCTTGTTTGCCACTCTCGCATTCAAAACAACTGGGGGGAATAGTCTCATCGCTGTACAATGATATTAGTGCATGACCCAACTGAGATGGCCAAAAGAGGTGTCGAACCTTCTTGAAGGACCCAGCGGACATAATGCAGCGTCCCGAGTTGTCCCCACGTTGGAGGTGTCAATCCAATGGCGTCAATGATGCTTGCTCGCAGCTTATGCACAACGCGCTCGTTCTGGGCAAGACAGTAGAAAAGGCCTGAGAGTGTCGTGCTCATGCTATCGTTTGCGAGTAAGATACTCAAAGCTTGATCGGTAAGCTGTGATACCCGATCTATATCGAAGCATGATTTGAGCGTAGGCAGTTCATCCGCCTCTTTGTCCACACTGCCTTGTCTTTCCAGATCCCTAACAACCCGAGTCATCACATATGCTCGTGAGCTCTTGCAAGCCTGCAGGAAGCTTCGTTTGGGTACTAAATGACGAAGCGGGCCACGGAAGCCATCTTGCACGATTCTATTCTTAACAAGAAGCAGATCCTCGAAAAATTGCTTCTTTTCTTGGGATTGGGTGAAGCTGAGAGCATCAACAGACTCTCCCAGGGAAAACAAGGTCTGCATATCTAGAGACAGACCAAACGCGCAGGACTGGATATCGAAGGGCCGCCCATTTAGAGGGATGTGCCGAAGAAAAGCTTGGAAGTGCTGCTCACACAGGCTAAGATCGATGGCCTTGCGAAGGTTGGAGAGCCGACTTCGCAACTGTTCCCGGCTTGTTTTCCAGGCCGCACCGTCAAGGGTGAATATGCCATGTGGTGTGATTGGCTCAAACAATGGCCTTCGCAACGGAGAACTATCGAAGTCAATAAATGCCGCTGAAAGCAGATGTTTGATATTGTCCGCGTTGCAGGTAAATAGCAGCCGAAACCCTAAGATATTGGAGGCATACGTCTCCCCATATCTCTCGAAGAGTGCATTTGTGTACGAGAGAGACGTTCGACGGCGAAAATGATATGCCAACTCGATTGATTTAGCGATGCCAAAAATGTCATATCGGAAGCGGTCGCTTTCGTTGGGCGGCTTCTCACAGCCATGAAGTTGCTCAAGGTGTCGCGATCTTCGGCGCTGGTTGAAATTATTTGCCAAGAGGGTGATCGCGACACCAACGGCAATTACAGCCAAAGCTAGGAGAAGGCCGTTTGACTTGGAGGGTCCGGATAGCAGCAGTGCTGTCATGTTTGAATTGGACCTTTGGACATCCTGCATGGTGACAAAGCAAGGACAAAGCAGAGGCCATATGCTGACGGGGAACGGTTACGCTGGGTAACAGTAAGTCATGCTCAGATGACTGGTCTATCGAGTGAAAAGAGATTGCAGGTAAGCAGACCTGGAATCCTTGACGAGAGTGATTCACAGGGGAATCAAGGAAGGAAAGAGAGACCCCGCGCCCTCACATGCGACCCACCAATATCCATGCTACTAGAATACGCTAAACATGCTCGACTGCTATAAATATGCATAGTTTCTCCTTACTACAGAGCTGGAAAACCGATATAGATCGTCTCTTCAAGTTGTCCGACAGGCAGTTATTTGCTGTTACCTCTACTACAACTTTATAATTGCTACTTTGCTACTTTCACTCTCGAAACCCACCCCAGCTTTGTGATGATGACTTTGGGAGAAGGCCACAAAGAAGGCATAACTCCCGGGGAAGAGCAAATTACTTCAGATATAGAGCATACTCTGAAGCTTGCAACTGAATATGCTCTCAGTTCGATACGCTCTGATGGGCATTGGTGCGGGGAGTTAAGGTCCAATGTTACTATCACGGCCGAGTATATCTTCCTTCGACACGCTTTGGGCCTGGATTTGAGGACCGACAATGCGGCTTACTGCCGCTATATACTATCACAGCAGAACTGCGATGGTTCATGGGGCCTAGCACCTGAGTATCCAGGTGACGTATCGACCACGACTGAAGCCTACTTAGCACTCAAGTTGCTGGGGACGAGTCCAGACATGCCGGCCATGCAACAAGCTCGTGCATTTGTTCTCAAAGCAGGCGGTGCTGAAAAAGTTCGCGTTTTCACTCGCATATTCCTGGCAACCTTCGGCTTATTTCCATGGGATGCAGTGCCCCAGCTACCCGTGGAGCTAATTCTTTTGCCTTCCAGTTGTCCAATCAACATGTACACTTTAGCGTCCTGGGCCCGAGGAACGATTGCCCCGCTGCTGATTATCTGCCACCATCAGCCCGTGTACGCGCTACCGGAGGACTACCTAGATGAGTTATGGCTCGATCCGACGGACAAAAATGTGCCGTATGGCTCGTCACTCCGGGATCTGCTGTCTCAGGGAGACATTACTGGACTTGCATTTAGTGTCGTGGACAACTTGCTCTACTATCTGAACGGTCTGCGTTCCGTCCCTTTGCTCCGATCATACGCTCGACGAAAATGCATACAGTGGATCCTCGAGCGCCAGGAACCTACTGGTGACTGGGCTGGGATCTTTCCTCCAATGCATGCCAGTATTTATGCGTTCGTGCTGGAGGGCTACGAGCTGGATGACCCTCCGGTCCGCCTTGGAATCCAAGCATTGGAAAACTTTGCTTGGGAAGACGAGAAGGGCAAACGAATCCAAGCATGTGTGTCTCCCGTGTGGGACACAGCTTTGATGTCGATCGGGCTTTGCGATGCCATGTCGCCCGATAAGCAGATCCTCCAGCAGGCCATCACTTGGATCCGGAATCGCCAATTGCTGAAGCCCTGCGGGGACTGGCGCATCTACCGCCCTAAGCTAGCCCCTGGAGGGTTTAGCTTTGAGTACGAGAATAGCCACTATCCCGATGTGGACGACACCGCGGCCATCATTTTGGCTCAGCTTAAGCAGGATCCCCAGTCTGTCGCTTCGGACTCGGTGATTGCAGCAGCAACATGGATCCTAGGCATGCAGAACCCCGATGGAGGCTGGGCCGCCTTTGACGTGGAAAATGATAAGCTGTTCCTCAACAAAATTCCCTTCAGTGATATGGACAGCTTATGTGACACCTCCTGTGCCGATATTACTGGGCGGATTCTGGAAGCCTTCGGTTTAATGATGAAGCGTGAACTGAAAAGACCCGTCCTTTCTCCAATGCTACGGCATGCATGCATTCGGGGGATCACTTACCTTGCATCCACACAAGAGTCCAACGGAGCCTGGTTCGGACGATGGGGATGTAATTACATCTATGGGACGTCTCATGCGCTGTGCGGATTGGCATATTACATGGAAGACGACAAGCGAGTCAGTGGGCTGGTGGCGCCAGCGCTACAGTGGCTAAAATCCAAGCAGAATGACGACGGCGGTTGGGGCGAACCGCTACTATCGTACCGAACACCGGGCACTCAGCTGCAGCAGCAATCAACTCCATCACAGACTGCATGGGCGCTAATGGGACTATTGGCCCACCTTCCCCTCACTGACCCTGCGATTGAGCGGGGGATTCGGTGGCTGATATGCTCACAGCAGCCGGAAAAGGGCAATGGAGCTTCCTGGCCCGAAGCGGTCTACACGGGAACAGGATTTCCCAATCATTTTTATTTGGGCTACGACTATTATCGGCATTACTTCCCCATGATGGCTCTTGGGCGCTATTTGCAGGCGAGTCAAGCCCGGGCTTGAAGATGCCGCAAGGAGGTGTTTCGCAGCCAACCGATCGATCACATGCGTCTGCGCCTTTGAACAATAACTTGGATAACTATGTAGACAGAGATGGTGAGGCAGTCACCGCAACTAGTATATATATCATATTTTTAGTATTTACCAGGGCTATCTGAGTGTTTTCACCTGTAGTACTTTTTAGCTTCGACTAGTTCCTGGTACGTCCTTGCAGCATAGTAGCAACACAACCTTAAAATTGTAGGAACTTTCTTTTTTCAGTACTGCTGACACGTGTGCCAACCCAAGATTAACTTTACAACCGTATCATTCTTCAAGAACAAACTTATCAACGTCTCATTATGCGTAATCATGAAGAAACGCGGCAGCATTACCATGCTGTATAACCACCAAAAATCGGAGAGAGCTGATGCTCAACGAATTGTGACAAAAGCTATCAGATCATGCATGAGACACTCATGAAAGCGAGACAATTCCTGGCCATCGCCACCATTTTAATTTATTCAATTAGCCGAGCACAACTGCATAATGCAGCTAGATATCACTAGTAGATACTCCGTATGTGGATCCTTACTTGGTCAAAGCGGCCAGAGAGTAGTCCCGGGATAATTATTAACTAACTAGCACATGAATTGATGACAACAAGGAACTCGAGTGAACAAGCACGAGACACGTAGCGTGCATACTGTTTGTTTGTCGGATATATTGGATTGGATCGGGACTCTGAGCAGCTCCTTCCCTGCTTGAACCCCCCCCTCTTCCCGGTTGGCATTCGTGTGACTTTATGATGCAGATGGAGATGAAGATGACAGCTTGTGCAGAAAACCAGAGAGCCGTGGCATGCCTGACTTTCTCTGCATTCCGCTCCTCCTTTCTTGTTTGGCCCACGCCTTGCACGATAGCCCAACAAAATGATGGATTTTTTCCCGATCTTCAACCGTGCCCGGCCAGCAACTGTGCCCACTGACAAGGTTGTCCCCCTACGGTATTGGGATGACCTAGACTACCTCCGTCGTCTCTGCCATGATTTCACCTTTCGCTTTGACGACGTACTGGACGCCTCCAAACTCGATGCTGCTCTGGCACGTTTGACAGAGATTGGAAACTGGGGCCAGTTGGGAGCTCGTCTGCGCCTGAACGTATGAATATGAAGATTCCTCCATTCTCATATCAATTCCTGCTGGTATCAACAAGGCTAACGCTCTCTCCAAACCAGGATCAAAATCGCCTCGAATACCACATTCCTGCTGAGTATACCAAGGCGCGGCCTGCATACAACTTCACCACCAATGAGTATGGGTTGCGCATCTCCGAGCACGCACTCGGTAAGCAGCTACCAAAAGCAGGCCAAGATCAATCGGTTCTTTCGCCTTCGCCCGCTGTCTTCGCTCCTATTGTCCGCCATCCGGATAGTCCTCGTAAATTGGCTGATTGGATTTACACTGATCGGCCACAACTTCATATCCATGTTTCTGTCTTTCAAGACGCAACTCTCGTGACGGTCAGCTATGTTCATACGCTTTTTGATGCTATTGCGCGGACAACCTTCTTCAAGGCGTGGATAGCTGTTCTGCGGGGTCGAGAAGACGAAGTACCACCTTTCATCCCTTTTGAACATGATCCTCTGCGCACACTGGGTACAGAAGCCCCGGTGAAGCCGTATAGTAATTTTGGCCGCGCTCTTAGCGGACTTAGCCTAGTGATATTTGGGCTGCGGTATCTGTGGGAGCTACTGTGGTACCAGAAAGAGGAGGAACATCCTATTCGCCTGCCAAGACGATGCGTGGAACGGCTGAAGGAATCTGCTCGAAAGGAGCTTGCTGCAATGAGTCCGGATAATGAGGCAAAGGCACCCTTCCTGAGTGAAGGCGATGTTGTAATGGCGTGGTGGGTGAGGACCATCATCACAGCTCTGAATCCTGCGCCAAATCGAACCATCATGGTCATGAACGTCTTCAACGTATGGGCACTTTTGGAAGAATGGTTTCCGACTGGCGGAGCGGGGTTCATTGGAAACGCCTTTTTCTACTCCTACACACTGCTGGTTGCAAGCCAGGTTATCCAGGATGCTAGCCTCGCGTATGTGGCGTCCAAGAACCGTAAAGCCCTCATGGAGCACCGGACAAAGGAACAGGTTCAAGCCTTGACCTCCATGCAGAGGGCATCGTTCACTCGGACACCACCAGTTGTCGGAGATGCCAATTTGCTGTTCATGGCATGCACCAATCAACACAAGGCCAGATATTTTGAACTGGACTTCTCGGCCGCCGTGGTGGCTCCAGGAGTACCTCTGAGCGAACGACCACATGCTCTAGGTAGACCGTCGTATATCAACGACATTGAGACTTGTCAGGGTTATCCGACCCGGAACGTAGTCAGGATTATCGGGAAGGATGCTGCGGGGGATTATTGGCTTCTGTTCAAAACCCGACCTGGGGCGTGGGCAGCAATCCATAGACAGTTGGTAGCATTGCTGGAGCTGGATGAGCAGAAATGATGTATGTTAAGCGGATTAGCTATACGTTAAACTTGAGACCAGGGGTTCTGGATTTGGAAAGAACCATGTCAATGCCGTGACCCACGTAGCAATCGCATCTTAGTCCAATCCATTTTAGTCGATAACATCTTAGTCCTTATAAATAAGCCGGTCGCCCGGAGCATTTAGCCTTAGTTCAGCACTTTGGGATTAAGCTACTCATGAGCATGTCCAGCCAGGGAATCCCACTCAAGGTTATCCAGCCGACTGCCGACACAACGCATAAGGCAGAGGCCCTCCAGTCCCAAATTCATATAGTGCGCAGCACTGCCAATATCTTTACCATTTACCGAACCGCCAACACATCGCAGCTATGTCTGCTGTTTCTATCAGGATGCTGCGCAATAGTCGCGGGCGCAGCAATGCCTCTAGTGATAGTCGTGTATGGAAACTTTGCACGCGAGTTCATCACCGGAGATAACAATGCACCGGACGAAATTCGAGACCGTGTTCAGAGTCTCGCGCTCTACTTGGTGTATATTGGTAGGCAGATCTGGATTAATCCGTTATCTGTCACCATCTGACGCAGCAGCGCAGCAATCGGGTCTCTGATCACGACTGCCATCAGCACATTTGGCTTCAACACCATCGGAGAGCAAATCTCGCGCCAGCTTCAGCAGAAATACCTCGCTTCAGCCTTGCGGCAGAATATGGCTTATTTCGATGTGGTCGGTATTGGCGAGTTGACGTCTCATATGGATCAGGATATGAAGCTTATCCAAGCTGGTATCTCGCAAAAAGTTGGTGAGCTTCTTTCTGGGTTGTCTGGCTTTGTTGTTGCAATTATCTGCGCGTTCATCCAGAATGGGCGCTTTGCAGGCATCATGATCTCTCAACCGATTGCCCTGCTTACACTCATCGGCGTGATGGGGGGATTTTTAAGTTTAACACAGCGAAGGAGTCTAGCTCAGTACGTCAGAGCAGACAATTTGGCCCAGGAAGTGCTCAGCGCCATGAGAAGCGTCATTGCTTCTCGAAGCCAGGAAAGGTATGGCAAAAGGTATTACGAAGCGTTGCGACATCCAGCAGAATTGGACTTTCGGGAGCGCTTTATCTTCGGTATGCTTGTTGCAGGGTCTTTCATGGTTATGCACTGGGCGAACGGGTTGGGCGTATGTATATAGTTAGTCCCCTTCCAGTTTCTTGCTCCAGCCACGCTAATGATTGCCAAGTTCTGGCAGGCTGACCATCTCCTCCGCCAAGGGCATTGCACTATTTCGGAAGTCTTGACAATTCTGTATGCAATGGCCGTTGCGGGTGGAATGCTAAGCCAAGCATTGCCATCCATTGTCAATATCACCCAGGCCAACGCGGCTGTCAGCCGTGTCTTTTCGGTCATTGAGCGGGAATCACCGATAGATCCTTCTGCAAGTACCGGGGTGACGCATAGTCGGGTCAGAGGAGATATTAGCTTCGAAGATATACACTTTACGTATCCTTCGCGGCCTGAAGGGAAGGTTTTGAAAGGTGTCGATTTTGTTGTACCTGCTGGACACACTGTAGCGTTTGTTGGACCATCTGGGTCTGGGAAATCAACCGTGTTTGCCCTTTTAGAACGACTGTACCATCCACACAGTGGTCGGATCATGCTGGATGGCGAGCCGATTGATGCCATGAACGTCGCGCGGCTAAGGTCGCAGATTGGGTATGTCGGTCAGGACGTCACCTTGTTCCGTGCATCAATACACGATAATATCGCATATGGGCTTCCCAAAGCTGCCGCTGAGGTGCTTCACGACCACTATCTTTTGCCTTCCAGTTCTGATACTGATTTTGTGAGGTAGAAAAAGGACGCATACGAGATACGAAAGCTCGTAATCGAGGCTGCCAAAGTTGCCCAAATTCACGATTTCGTTGCGAGTATGCCCAAGGAGTACAACACCATGATTGAGGCACAAGGATCAAATCTCTCAGGGGGTCAGAAGCAGCGTCTTGCCATTGCCCGTGCAATCATCTCTCAACCAGCTATATTACTGCTGGATGAGGCCACGGCTGCACTTGACAGTCAGTGTGAAAAAGCAGTTCAGGAGGCGCTGGACAAAGTCGTCAAAGGACGAACTACCTTGATAATAGCCCACCGGCTGTCGACAGTCCAGAATGCTGACAATATCATCGTCATGAAGGACAATCAGATCCTAGGCCAAGGCTCCCATGCGGAGTTGTTGAGTACATCTGCGATGTATCGAGAATTAGTGAGGCATCAGGCACTTGAAGCATTCCATCGATCAGAGGGAGACAGGCTTATCAGACAACGGCCGCACTCGTTGAGCACTCATGAAGAACATTCCAAAGATATCCTGGTCAAATTTGATACGGTGGACATACCAGAGGACGGCCTATTAGCAGTACGGTCGTCCAGTAGCAGTGTCGGGCGTGTTTGGAGTCTCAATAGACCAGAGTTTCCTTACATAGCCGCTGGCGTGAGCTTCAGCGTTCTGGCTGGAATAACATATCCTGTTCAAGCAATCTTCTTTGGTAACGGGATCATGTCAATGATTAATCCTAGCCTCAGTACCGGTGGACATAATGTTGAATTCTGGGCCACCATGTACCTTACCCTCGGTATTATCGCATTTGTCGTTTATTCGGTACGGGGATATTGCTTTGCCGTGTCCGCATCACAGTTGGTTCTCCGAGCCCGCTCGCAGTTGTTCAAACATCTGCTTGTGAACGATCTCCCCTTCTTCCAAGACAAGGACAATTCGATTGGTGCATTGGTCAGCTTCCTTGCATCTGGGCCTCGGCAAATCACTGGTGTTTCGGGAACATCACTGGGGCTTGTGGCTGAAAGCATTGTGATGCTCGCGACAGGAATTACCATCGGGTGTATCTTTGGGTGGAAGCTTGGTCTTGCTGCGACAGCAACGGTCCCATTAGTAGTTGTTTCCGGCTTTATGCAATACCACACTGTGGCGCGAGTACAGGAATACATCAAGCGTGACACTAGTGCTGTGGCTATTGCACATGAAGCCCTTTCTGCCATCAAGACTGTGACGGTTCTTGGTCTGCAGAAGGCCATCAGTGCATCGTTCGAAAGTGCAAGCCATCGAGACAGCCAACGCAAATACTGGCTGATGTTTGCTGCGACATATGCGTGCACTACCTCCCTCCGGGCGTTGAGCATCGCTTTCGTTTTCTGGTACGGCGGCACACACCTAATCGCAACTGGCGAATACAATGTCCAGCAGTTCTTCATCTGCTTCGCAGCCACGATGTGGGGATCTCAGTCTGCGTCCGTGCTTTTTCGCACATGCTCCTGACATTGCAGGTTCTCAAGCTGCTGCTGCTAGACTGGAGGAGCTGATGCGCGCCGGAATATCAGCAGCCACCCACAGAAAGCTCAATAATGGCGACGCTGACGTGCCAAGTATTACCGCTAACGTTTCGCTACGACGCGTCAACTTCAGATATCCAAGCCATTCATCTCAATTAGCATTGAAAGATGTGAGTCTGAACGCTCCAGCGGGTGCCTTCATTGCTCTCGTGGGTGCTACAGGCAGCGGAAAGAGTTCGGTCATAAATCTGCTGGAGCGCTTCTACACCGGTGAAACTGGCGCAATAGCACTAGATGATATGCCCATTGAACAATATAACCTCGACAGTTACCGAGGGTATCTAGCGCTGGTCGACCAAAATCCTTAATCGGAGAAACTCTGAGCGATTGCCTGCAGAGTGGTGAGCTGGTTGTATTAGACGATGAGATCTTGGCCGCTTTGGAGGACGTTGGGTTAGCCGATTATGTGGTACGGGCCTTCAACCCCTCAAATATCCTTGTTACATATCCTGACTATCTTGATAATTTGTCAGCTATCACTCCCTCAAGGCTTAAGCACTCCAGTCATGGCCAACGGATCGACCCTGTCCGGGGGCCAGCGCCAGCGCATGGCCATCGCGAAGGCGCTTCTATGTCGGCCAAAGATTCTGTAAGGGGCCCCTTCATAGAAAATCCGTGATTAGTGGATCCTAACTCCTGTCAGTCTGCTTGATGAAGCAACTTCAGCACTAGACTCCGCCTCAGAGGAACTAGTTCAGAGGACACTTCAACGTGTGATGAAGGGGCGAACGGTCATCGCTGTTGCCCATCGACTGAAGACAATTGTCGATGCTGATGAAATCTTGGTATTCAAGCATGGACATATTGTAGAAAGTGGGACCCACAAGGAGTTGATGCAACTCGAGGGCGAATACTGGCAGATGGCCAGGTTACAGCAGGTGATGGGAGAAGCATGAACTGTGGAAGTTGTATATGCCCGGTTAGCACATAGTTGGACTATGCAGTTATGAATGGACATAACGTATTAGTAAGCGGAAAATGTTATGAAAATACCGAACCAAGAAATCCAAGACCCTGAGCATCATCATGTGACCCGGCAGTAGGCTTGGCAGACCCGAAAACAGACTAGTCAAGTGACCCGGCATGAAGGTCTGATCCCCCCAAAACAATCCATACAAAAACGAGTACGAGCGGAATCACCGGATGCCACCAATTACTCCCACCCCTTGGCAGACAGACCTGTCCGACTATTCGATACTCCTTGGCATATTTCTTATAAACAGGTCTCAGCACCAAAATTTAGCTAGCCACCTGATAGGTCGGTATATTAAAAAGTACTCCGTAGTTGAAAACTCGGCTCTCCTCCTGCCCCTGTACTTTGATAGGCAACAATCAATACCTGCACGGAGGCATTTGATAGCTCCGAGATTGGCAGGGTCCTGTTCCCTTCCGCGCAGATGCGTCGGAGAGAAGTGAGCGAATTGGTTCTGCTTGGGTTCAGCCATCAAGACTAAAGTAGCATTTCTGTGGGGACGACGACTAGTCAGGAAAGTCCAGGGGGGTTAACCTAACCTGATGGTTGGAAAGCAACCTTGGTTCTTCCGAATAAGGGGCAGTTCGTTACGGTATTGGGAGTTAGGGGTGGGTGTATGGATGTCGTACGATGGTGGTATGTATGTACTACTACGACCACCTACTACTTCTGTATCTCCCTGGAAGCAACCGGACTGTTTCAGATGCGCGATAAGATTCTGACAATATACTCGGTAGCGGAGTCTAGTACTCTTTTCATCTTTTATGGGGGATTTAATTTGGGGGCGGATAGCAGGTGGAAGTTGGAGGTAGGTACTATGCTCGTACGTATGTATATAGAAGGACTTGCTTGACTCGAGTCAGGTGCAAGGATCGTTAGCGCTCGATGGTGTGTATCCAGTAGTTGTTGGTCGATAATGCAGGGCGTACTGTAGGGCATTTGTCTGCCCTACGAGGTGCATGATGTATCGATCTCGCTGGACATTATTAATACGTCTCTTGGCCTCAGCATCCTTTTAATTCTTGGCCTCATAGCAGGAGCGGAATCCCATATATGATTCGTGCCAACACACTGCCCCCTTGTGCTTTAGGGGAGTTTCAACACTGCAGGTCATCGTCTGAGAACCAGCCGTCCGGCGCCTCCAAATTGTCCTGCTTGCAGGGAAGGGAGGGACACGGACACTAAAATACAATGGGGAGATTTCCAAGATGGTGTCACCGTGGCACGGATAATTAGCCAAAGCCATCCTGCATCTGTGCTGTGCTGACTACTAGACACAATGGAGTCATGGACATTGCGACCAGGGAAGACCAAGGGGGGTGGGTGTGTAGCCCTATGATTCAGTTGGCTGCTTTGCTGAAGCTGGTTGGTGATACGGTAAGCGGATGGTACGGAAGGCGTTCCCGTATGTAAGCAGTAGTAACAAACATCCCTGGGAGGGAAGATAAGTGGGGAGGGAGTGGGAAACAAAAAAAAAGAGAGCCAAAGACACGTCGGGAAAGATGGCACGCGAGGCCCGACTCTTTTCCTCTTTCTTCCCTGAATTCGGCCAAAATCAATCAATCAATTATGGAGCGCCGTCGCCTTTGGGTGGATTCTTTGATGGTTGCCTAGGAACTATTACTCTCGTGATTCCGAAGAGAAGACCATCCATCCTGACACTCTCCTACAAAAGTATAACAAGTAGCTCTCTTTGTCCTCATGGGAATGGAGCATTGGCATGCCGGCGTGCTTCGCGCAGCCAACCAGCTCCCTGTCGTCATGGCTGTTATCCTTGCCGATCTGGACCTGCAGAGCGTCATCCACGGAAAGGGTCCAAGGCCTATTCCCAACTTGTGCCAATGTAATAATCTATCTAATGAGGGTCCTCAGTGGGCCTCCCAAATGTCGCCCCGCTTGGCTGGCTGTTGAAGTCACCCCGTTAGTACGGAGTCGTATTTGATTCTATTCTTCCTCGGCCTTAACCAATTTTCCCTCGCCCCCAGAGGTGCAAAGCTTTTTCCCGTCCTGTGTTAACTGTACGGATTCGTCGGATCTTCCGGTTTGATTTGCGGGCTCGTGTGGTTCTCGAAGCCTGTCTAGTCGGACTATCAAGAACCGTTCCCCGTGCTTTTCTCTCCTGATCTTCCTTTCCTTTTCCTTGTATCTTTCCCCCCCTCAGTCTATCTTCTCCCCCCCTGTCTTGTCCATGCCTGATTGGCGTGTCGAGTCAGGCTGGCACTTACTTGGCTGCTCTCATTGTTAGCACCGGTGGCCTTCTTTTCTCTCGTCCGATGCACCACGCGAATTGTATGGTTCGACGTATGCGGCTATAACGCATTCGAGCAACGACTTGGCAGCCCTGTTCTGATCCCCCGCATCAACCGGATCAACTTATCATACTCACCCAAACATCACCTACCCGGTCCAGAATGCAAGCAGGGGCATGATTGACCTCCCGAACTGTTCAAAATAAAAACCCTTTTCAAACACACAACGTTGACATCTGCCGCCGGACATGAACCCTCGGGGCCTGCTGGCCGTCCTCACCTGCGCGATCTGGTCAGCAGTGGCCACAGCACGCCCCAGCCCCGCAGAGCACAGTAACCACGGCAGTTTCGTCAACCGCAATGACCCAGACCCGCTGTGGCAGAAGTACGGGCTGAACAAGTCAGACGAATTCAAGTATTTCCATGAGCCAGGTCGTGACGATACCTTGGGCCACTATGACTCGCGATTTTTCCAGGGGGAGCCGGTTCCGGACGCGGAGCGATCTATCACATTGACGCATATGATCCGAGCATATCTGAACTTCTTTGAGGATAATGGATTGGAAACATGGATTGCGCATGGAACATTGCTGGGGTGGTGGTGGAATGGCAAGGTGGGCTAGTCCTGATGCACCAGACATGGTTAGTTTTGGCCGTTTTAACCCTTCTTCTTTTCAGATCATGCCCTGGGACTGGGACATCGACACTCAAGTCATGGACACCACACTATTCCATCTCGCCGACCACTTCAATCAGACTGTTGTCCAGTATACCACTACCGACCCCAACGTCGAGCGCCGGTACCTCCTCGATATAAACCCGTGGGCGCGCCAGCGTGATCGCGGCATGGGACTGAATATAATTGATGCGCGCTGGATCGACATCAGCACGGGGCTATACATCGATATCACAGGGCTAAGCCGACTGACGGCCGAAAAGCCCACAGAATGGGAGTGCAAGAATGGGCACAAATATCAGACACACGATATCTATCCACTGCGGAGATCGACGTTTGAGGGCGTGCCAGCCAAGGTGCCATTTAGGTACGATGGGGTGCTAACAGAAGAGTATACAAAGAAGGCGTTGACGAACACGCAATTTCACAAGTGAGTAAATCCCCTCTAGCCGAGAGCCGCCTTATGCTGACATGTGATAGTCATACGTGGGATGCGGAACTCGAAGAGTGGGTGCTGGATGTGCCGGCCGCAATGGACGACCGGCAATATGAGTGAGCCAGTCATACCGGCTGCATATTCTCGCTATCGACTGTCATAAGTGCATCATTGGATGGTGTCATGGTCATTTTTGGTAAATAATCATATAAGGATCGGAGTTCAGGGTACAGGCGGCGTTGTGGACAGTCAGCGTTCTGCAGAGTCAATCTAGTGGTCATACAATCTTTCTGCATCATTCTGCACAAGCTAAATCAGGCGTAGTACACTTGTAACAGAGTAGGACCCGCGGGGTGATCAATCCCAGACAGCATCTCTCAACGCCAAACAGCCTCGGACCAGCCGAAATTAAGCAGCGACGATCCGCTCGCTACCTGAGGCACCAGTAACCAGGGGCCCTTCCATTACATACCAGTAAAAAAAGGTGAAACCACACTAACCTTAATCGACTAGCTCTTATCACCTATCACCACGTGATAAAAATCATGCTTATCGCCTTATCGCTGACAAAACAAGATCGAACTCCATCGAAGATCATCACCACTTCTGCGTCTTTGTATATAATCCAACTTTCTCCCCCACAAAACCCCCCCATTTCACGCGCCACATTCACAGATACAACCCCCAACCATGACCGACACCGAATCCCCAACAGGGGCCACCCTAACCCTCCAAATCCACCACCGCAACGCCTCCCACTCCCTCACCCTCCCAACCACCAGCACCCTCACAGACCTAACAGAGCTAATCTCCTCGACACTCCAAATCCCCCCAACCCACCAAAAGCTCCTCATATCTCCCTCCCCCGGCATGCTCAAACATCCATTCCCACCAACGCCCCTCCAGGACCTCCTCCCCCTCACGTCCCCCAAATTCAAACTCACCCTGCTGGGCACACCCCCGCGCGACATCGAGTCCCTCAACACGCACGGCACAGAACTCAAAGCCCGCGCTGAAGCCCGCGATCGCGCACACCGTCTCTACGCCGCGAAACCCACCCCGTCCAGCACCTCCTCCAACATCAGCAAAATCCACACCCTCGCCAACAGCGCCAACGGCAGCGGCTCCTACACTTTCCACCGATGCGTTCCGCTCCCGCATCTCCCTAACCCTTCTAAATCATTGACGTTTCTTGAACGCCTCCGCGACGACCCCGGGATTAAATCCGCGATGCAGAAACATAAGTTCTCTGTGCCCCTGTTAACGGAGATGGATCCGGCTGAGCATACGACGAGCGAGTCGAGAACATTGGGTCTGAATCGGAATAAGGGCGAGGTGATTGAGTTAAGGCTGAGGACGGATGCGTATGATGGGTATAGGGATTATCGCACGATACGGAAGACGCTGTGTCATGAGCTGGCGCATTGTGTGTTTAGTGAACATGATCGTGATTTCTGGGATTTGACGTCCCAGATTGAGAAGGAGGTTGAGAGGGGGGATTGGACGAAGAGTGGGAGGACGGTGGGGGATCAGGAGTTTTATAATCCGGGGGATTGGGAGGGGGTTAGGGAGCATGGTTTGGTGGTTGATGAGAAGGGATGGACTGGGGGGCAGTTTGTGCTTGGGGGTGGGGGTGGTGGTGATGGGGGAGGAGAGAGTCGGAGGGAGGTTTTGGCGAAGGCGGCGGAGGAGAGGATGAAGAGGGCGAGAGAGAGAGAAGGGGAGGGCAAGTCGTGATATACCATGATGGATCTTGTTAGTTTTGGTTGAGTGGCTTGTGTATAGTTTCTGGATTCGCGTAGCATCATAGTATCCACTCCATTGCTGACACCAGCATTTAATGACATGAAATGATATGATATGATACCATACTATCTACTTTTACACCTGCTCATTCACAAACAAACCCGCCATACCCTGGCCCGTGCCAATGCACATACTTGTCACCAGGATCTTCTTCTTCGTCCGGCGCGCCTCACTGAGAATCGTGCAGATCTGGCGTGCGCCCGTTGCGCCCAGAGGGTGGCCAAGGGCAATGGCACCACCGCGCGGGTTCACCTTGGCGTGCTCCAGACCAAGGTTGTTAAGGCAGTAGACAGCCATGGAGGCGAAGGCCTCGTTAATCTCGTAGATGTCAATGTCGTCCTTGTTCAAGTTGAACTGGGACAGCAGCTTGGGGATCGCTGCCGTGGGACCAATACCCATGATCCGGGGCGGCACTCCCGCGACGGTGGCACCGCAGAACTTGGCCAGAATGGGCTGGTTCAGCTCAATAGCCTTGGAGCGGCGCATGAGAAGAACAGCGGCGGCTGTTCACACACAGACATAGTTAGCACAATCCTCATAACTCAACCATCATGAATATTACTTACCACCATCCGTAACCTGACTCGAGTTTCCTCCCGTGCTCCGATTACCGAACTGCGGGAAAGCAGGACGGATCTTGGCCAGCGACTCTGGCGTCGTACCATAGCGAATACCCTCATCCTTCGTCAACGTAACCTGCTTCAGCTCCCCAGTCTTCGGGTCCTTGACCTTTGTGGTAATGGGGACGATCTCGTCATCGAACCAGCCCGCCTTCTGAGCCTCCTCTGCCCGACGGAAAGATTCCGCAGCGTACTTGTCCTGCTGCTCGCGCGTGATGTTGAAGTCCGCACCAACATTCTCCGACGTCTGACCCATGGGCTGCATGCAGTCCGCCGCTTCCTGGTTGCGAAGGACCTCCTCGTTGAACGGACGCGGCAGCCGGTCGCCACCAGCAGACATCAACTCCGCACCGACAGCGATACCAACATCAATGGCTCCAAGCTGAATCTGATTCGCGATGTCCTGTACGGCCTTCAGACCAGACGAGCAGAAGCGGTTCACGGAGGATCCACCGGCAGTGTGAGGGATGCCGGCTGCGAGGGAGGCAGCGCGGACGAGGTAGGCTGCTTTGCCGTCGCCGACCTAGAATAATAGTATGAGGATTAGTAGCCCGGTATCCGTAAGGAGGACAAGTTGGTGCTCACATTTCCCAGGCACACATCCTCAACTAAAGCGGGATCCAGCTTAGATTTAGAGAGCACTTCCTT